CAGGCAGGCTGGGCACAGAGTGGCCCCATGGTGGGGGCGGAAACTGCTCGGGCCTCGTCAAATTCCAGAACAGCTCGCCTTGTACGGGCCCAGGGAGGATATCTTGCCCCTAAAGGAGCCCTGGGCTGGCTGCCGACCGGGAACACTCCCGCTCTGCCCCGACTGCAGAGTCCGGAATATTTTACCTAGAAGCTTCTCCATGACCCAGGGCCCTGTCCCTCCCCTGCTCAGAATCCGCAGGGAAGCGTCTTGTGGGGTGGGGCTGTGAGGTCTGGACACCTCTGGAGGGCGGCCAGGCGGGGCCCGAGACGGGGGTCCATGGGGTGCCCCTGCTGATCCTCGACTCCCTCCAAGCCCCCCAGGCCCGCCACTCAGAGCCCCGGCTGGGGAGCCGATGCCCAGGCAGCCTGTGGGTTGGGGGGGGGTCCCTGTGAGCCCATCCCAGGCCGGCAGACACTCAGGAGCAGGTCCCACCAGGCGGTGGGACAGCCTCGGCCCCCGAGGGGCTGGGACCCACCCCTGCCCCTGAGGAGGCTGGCCGGGTGCCCGGAGGAAGCGGCTTCTCTCCAGGATAAGGCTGGGATCCGGTCCGGGCGCCCAGGCCTGGCTATCAGGCTTGCCCCTGACCTGCCTGGACTGGAGGTGGCGGATGGCCCCCTGGCCTCCCAAGGACAAGGCCAAGCGCTTGCATTTCCTGTGACCCAAAGCAACTGTGGCCCAGAGCGGCTGCCTTCCTGCCCAGCCCACCTCCCACCCCACCCCACCTCCCTGCGGATGTGCCGCGCCCTCCACGCCCAGGCCCCAGCTGGGTCCTGCCTGGCAGCCGAGTGGCCACATCTGTGGCTCACATGCCCCCTTGGGGTCTGTCCTGCTGGGCCCACGGAGGCCTGGGCAGGGCTGTGTGAGGGCTGCGGGGGGGGGGGTGGTGATCTAAGGCAGGGGGAGGATGGGGACCCGGGTCGGCCTCTCCCGTCCTCCTGCACCCAGCCCTGCCCTGCTGGAACATGCACTCCCAGCCACCCGCCCTCCTGTCCTGAGAACCAGGAGCCGCGCGGGGGCTGCAGCAGGAGGAGTCTCTGCCTGCCGGGTGGCCTCCCTGCCCCGGTGCCCAGCAGACACCCGCCCCACTCCCGGCCAAGGCCAGAGCGGGCACCCTTGTGCAGCTTGGAGCTGCGGACCACACACGGCCAAGCTCAGAGCCCAGGCACAGGCACGAGAGTGTGCACAGGGGCCCTGTCCCTGCCCAGGGTGCGGGAGGCTCTGGAATGTCGCCCCTGCCCCTACGCCCAGGCCTCTGGGCCTCCATCTCGCACAACCCCAGCCTGTTTCAGCAGGAGCCGGCAGCTGCCAGAACCTTCCCAGACTCGGGGAAGGATGAATTCCCCGGCCTCAGTGGACACAGATGTGCCCCAGAGTCAAGGCTTTTGGGGGCCCCTCGCTCTTGGGGACCCCTCATTCTTGGGGGCCCCTTGCTCTCAGGGGTCCCTCATTCTTGTGGGGTCCTCATTCTTGAGGGGGTTTCCTTCTGGGAGGCCCTCACTCTTGGGGGACCCCTCACTCTTGGGGGGGCCCTCATTCTAGGGGGCCCTCACTCTTGGGGGCCCCTTGCTCTTGGGGGGCCCTCCCTCTTAGGGGGACCTCCCTATGGGGGGCCCTCACTCTTAGGGGCTCCTCCACCTGCCAGGCCCAGCAGCTGAGAGGGCACCCACCTCGTGGGCCCCAAAATGGTGCCCCTGGGTTCCCTGCAGCTGGGCCTCCCCCGCTGGGGGCCCACAGACCCAGGCCTGGCCCTCACCGGACCCGCCTCTGCTCAGGGTCCCCTGCAGCCCAGCTTCCAGGAGACCAGCGAGGACGGGGCCACCTGAGCAAGGGCCTGGGGAGAAGGGGAGCAGCGGGAGGTCGGGGTCCAGGCCTCGGCCCACCAGCCCCCACCTGCAGTGAGGAGGGTCCCGTGACCAGACCTGCTTGGGCCCACACTCTCCACAGTTCCCACGAAGCATGTGAGGTGGGGACACACTCACTCTCTCTGCACAGGTGGGGAAACTGAGGCACTGGCCACTGTCCCTGCCAGACCCAAGGCTGCCTCCTGGGGTCACTGGTGCCGGCTTGACCTGGGGGCTGCCGGCTCTGAGCTACCTAGAGGTGGGCCGTGGTGGGAGGGTCTCTGGGGCCAGGGGAGACCACGGGGACAGCTTCGGCGTCTCCTCCCGGGAGCACATGGGGCTGCCCCCGACCCCAGGCCCTGAGCGGAGGACGCAGGGGCCCATCCGCTGCCCCGACTGGCCACGAATGCTGCGCATGCGTTTGTTCGCTTGTTCATTCCACCCCCATTTTGGGGGCCTCCGGCGCCTGCGCTCAGAGGACGCTGGTGGGAACAGACACTTGTCCTTGAAAATGAGACAGTGCGGGTTGTCTTAGAGCAGGAGGAGGGACAGCCGTCCGCCTGGAAGCACACCCATGCCTTCCTGGAGGGCTCCCTGGAGGTGGCATCTGGGCTCAGCCTTGAAGGAGCTTGAGAGGGTGGCATGGATGCTGGTGGCAGCACCCAGGGGCTCTGAGTCGGGGGCACCCGATGTGCAGCTGGGGGTGGCCGCTGGCCGGGGCCTCGGGGCAGCAGGGGGACCAGATGGCAGGTGCAGTCGGGAGTCAACAGAGGCCAGTGGTCATGGGGCGGGCCAGTCACACGAGCGGGAGGTGACGGGTGAGGCGGGGTAGGACTTGGGCCACAGATAACCCTCCCCCTCGGGCTTCTGGCTGTGGTCACTGGCTGGGTGGGGGGCGAGGGGCAGAGAGAGGGCAGGTCTGGGGAGCTTTGCCCGGGGTGCCAGGGGACTGAGGTCTGGACTGGCAGAGCGGGTGTGCTTGGCATGGGGCAGACCAGAGCCTCAGAGGAACACCCGCGGGAGACCACGGGGTGGGGGGGACAGGCACTGGGAACAGTTTATGGGAGGCTCCGGCAGCCCCAGGAGGCAGGGTCTGAGCAGGGCCCACTGGCCCGCACGGCAGACCAGCAGGGACAAGTGCAGGAGGAAGAGCCAGGCCGGTGGGGCTGGCTGGGGAAGGGGCTTCCTGCTGTCACAAGTGGGCCTGGCCTCTACCTGCCCAGCCCAGCCCCAGCCTGCGACGTCCCCTCCTCGGCCACTGCTGGCTCCACAGGGGCAAGCGCTGTGTCCACCAAGTCAGAACGTTTGCCCCAAGTCCCCAGCCCAGCCGGCTGGGCCCGGGGTCATTGCGCCTGGTGCTGAGCGGGCAGGGGCTGCCGGGATGGGGTCCTCCCCAAGGGGTCTTTCCACAGACCCTCCCCTGCGGACTTGGAGTGTCCCCAGCTGCCCACTGGCCACCTTGACCGCAGGGAGACGGATGGGCTGATTCCTGAACCGAGGGGCATTCATGGCAACTCTCAGGGCATCCGCGGAGGCCACACGCCCACTGGGTGGTGGCCCACGGGGAGGAGGGGACATGGGGACTGCTGTGCTTCTGCTGCCAACCAGGGAAAGATGGAGGGAGGGACTTGGGCCCCCCGGCTCCAGGTACTGGGTCTGAGGGGTCCCCCGGGACCCTCCTGGGAGCCCCTTTGCCACAGAGGACCTTGCCCCATAAGGCCCCGCCTGCCCCTCCCTGGCAGGTCAGCCCCGGCCTGCCCTGAGGAGGGCCGTTCAGACCCACAGCCGCGTCTCCCCCACACCCGGGGGCCCCGTCCTGGGCCGTCTCTTCCCCACCTCACCCTAGGGCCTGCTCCCCACTGGGAGGTGCCCTTGTCTGGGGCAGCCTGGCCTGGGCAGAAGCTTCCAGCTGGGCCACTCAGAGCCCCACGGGCCCCCCCAGGGCCAAAGGATCTCCAGGACTCAGCTAGCAAACAGGCAGGGACCCCCCAGGCCCACGTTCTTTTCCTGCCACTCCCCCCTCCTTGCCTGCCACTGCCCCCTCCTGCAGGGAATCTCCAGGTCTGCTACCAGCCCAGGCTGGGGCCCCCTACACCCCACCTGTCCTGACAGACGCTCTCTCAGCCCCTGCTCTGGGCTGGGGATGGTGGGAGGCCAGGGGTGGGGGTCTCAGGCCTGCCTCAGCCCCACCCTGCGCTGCTGCCCTCCTCCCCCGCTGGCCGGCTCTCAGTGCCACCTGACTTTCCAGACGCCACTCCCTCACCCAGGAAGCCCACCACCCTGCTTTCCCCAACATTTCTGATCTCCCAACCTAGGCCCTCCCTGCCTTGGCCACAGCTTGGCCACAGCAGGGCCCAGCCAGAGCCAGGGAGCTTCAGGGGCCAGAGGTGCAGGCTTGGCCTCCGCCCTCCAGGTAACAGGACAGGCCTGACCCAGAGGCTGCCGCCGCCGTCTCTGGACCGGCCTCGGGATGGAGGAACCAGCTTGGAGCAACCAGGGCCTCCGGTGAGGGATAGGGTTGTCCCCAAGCCCAGAGGGGCCCCAGGCTGAGACAGGCACCAAGGGGCCACCATCAGAACCCCAACAGCTGGCCACGGGGAGCTGTGCCCAGCACACCTGGGCCTTGGGCCCTTTCAGGGCAGATCGAGTTCTTTACCTTGGCCCAGGTTTCTCATCACTACCTGGCCTTTCCTTTCGGGACCAAACTCCCAGAGTGCAAATGGGGCTGTGTCCCCTCCCAGGCTCATGGGTTTGGGAAGGCCACGACAGCAGGGCTTGTGAGATGCAGTTCCGGACCCAGTGGGAAGTGACCAGAGGCCCCGGGGGCAGGGCATACACCGCTCCCCCATCCACCCGGGTCGGTGGGCCTTGCCGGCAGCAGTGGGGTGACCCAGGGCTGGGCCAGCTCTACTCTGGGACCGGCCTCCGCCTCACCCTCGCTGAGCCTGGGGCAGCAGGGCCAGGCCTGTCTCACTGGGAGCCTCTTGCATAAGCAGCCCGTGGGGCACGCGGCTGCAGCTGGGCCTGGCCCCCACACCCCCCTCCCCAGCATCACGAGTTTCCAGTGGGCTGTCCTTGGGCCTGGGGTGGAGGCCAAGCCTGGCCCATAAATAGGGGTCTCCTCAGGGCCCTCCACGCCTCCCGCACACCTCCTGTGCTCGGCCCACACCACTGGCACCAGGCCCCGGACACCTGCTCCGCTCCAGGAGGATGGCCACCCCTCGCCTGCTGTGGATGGGACTGCTGCTGTTGGGGATCCTGCAGACCCAGGCCCAGGCCACCGTCTCTGTGCAGCCTGACTTCCAACAGGACAAGGTGAGGGGCTTGCCCACCGGGTCCCCAAGGCAGCGCAGGGCCCTGCCAAGGGAGGGGGCACTTTCGGGGGTGTCTTCTCCCTGGGGAGAGGGAGCTAAGTTCCGCAGTGCCGGGCACTGCCAGGCAGAGGCCTGAGCGGCTGGCCGGAAGGAGGCTGACCGTGGGAGGCCCCCGCGGGGCAGCAGCATTTCACCCACCCAGAGGGCAGAGCCCTGTCTCCACTGACAGACGCTCGCAGACGAGCGGGCCACGTCCGTGCCCTCACCATCTAAACACGGTCGCTCCCTCCTGTGAGCACACGACGACCAGAGGACACACACCCACGTTCCTCACCTGGGCCCAGGGACGGGGCTCTGTGCCGAGCGCGCGCACGGGGAACGCGCACTGCAGCCAGCCAGCCACGCGCGCTCGCGCCCGGGAGTTGGGGACTTGCGCGGGGCGGGGGTTCTGCCCTCGGCGCTCCCCAGCCCCAGCGGAGGAGGCGCGGGGCGGTTCAGCCTGCCAGGACCCCCACGGGAATGGGGCGCCCTGCGCCGCGGCTCCGCCCACAGGCACCTCTCTGGGGGGGCCAGCTTGGGACTGGGGCGGTGGGGGCGGTTGCGCCCGGCCTAGGGAGGGGCGTGGCCGGGGCGAGGGGCGGGGCGCCCGCGCGGGGCTGCCCAGGAGGGTCGGAGGGTCCCCAGGTACTGTCCGACGCGGGCGGGGCGTTCCCCGCAGTTCCTGGGGCGCTGGTTCAGCGCGGGCCTCGCCTCCAACTCGAGCTGGTTCCAAGAGAAGAAGGCGGTGCTGTCCATGTGCAAGTCGGTGGTGGCCCCGACCGCGGACGGCGGCCTCAACCTCACCTCTACCTTCCTCAGGTGGGACAGCGGGCGGCGGGTGGGCTTCTGGCACCGCGAGGACCCCGACCCGTGGTCGCGGCCTGCGGGCCCCCTGAGGCCTGACACCTGACCTGGAGGGTAACCTGCCCACAGGAAAAACCAGTGTGAGACCCGGACTATGCTGCTGAAGCCCGAAGGGTCCCCCGGCTCCTACAGCTACCAGAGTCCCCGTGAGTGGGCCCCACCCCAGCCCCGGTCCGGCCTGGGAGTGACATTTGCTGGCAGTGGCCTTGGGCGAACCCTCCACCCTGGAGACTGGGGTGGGGGGTGATGGCCACTCCTCCAGGATCCGTGTGTCCAAGGCCAGGCCTGGGCATGACTCCACCTTAGGAACAGATGTTGGGGACAGGGGACCCTTTCTCTGGAAGACTGGGTCCCCCCAGAGTCACCAATGCCCTGCCAGGCCCCTTCCCTGCCCCATGGGATTTCCCCAGACCTGCTGCCCAGGTGGTGCCCACGCAAGCAGCCCTCCAAGTCCCTCCACCCACCTCCTTGCAGTTCTTCCCAGGACCGGGGGCTTCGTCACTCCCACCAGCCGGGAAGGCGCCTCCCCTGGAAACCTTTTCCCCCTGGTCCCAGCCAAGAGTTCTGTGGCTGCGCCGTGAACCCCTGATCTTGTGGAGCCTGTGTGTTTTTATGGCTCCCCAGGACTTGGGGCTTGGGGACACGGAGGAGCTCACAGACCTTGCAGGCAGGAAGCGGGGAGCAGGCTGCTGGGAGTGGGGAGGGGACGAGGAAAGCAGCATGGGGGTGGGGGGCACCCCTGCAGGTGGGTGCACCCCTTCCCCTCAGGCAGGACCATCTCTTGGGTTCCCAGACTGGGGCAGCACCTACCACGTCTCGGTGGTGGAGACAGACTACACGGAGTACGCCCTGCTGCGCAGCGAGGGCAGCAAGGGCCCGGGCCAGGACTTCCTCATGGCCACACTCTACAGTACGTGCCCAGCACAGGGCTGCGGGGCCAGGCCCACAGCGGAGCGGGTGGGGGCGGAATGGGGACCTCCGCTACTAAGAACCTTCCCACTCCACCTGCCGCAGGCCGCACCCAGACCCCCAGGGCTGAGTTGAAGGAGAAATTCACCACCTTCTCCAAGTCCCAGGGCTTTACAGAGGACACCATTGTCTTCCTGCCCAAAACCGGTGAGGGCCCTGATCTGATGAATGGGGATTAGGCGGGATTAGAGGCAGACAGTCTCCCGATTGGGCCAGTGTGGGGCGCTGAGGGCAGGGGCTGTCCCCGAGCCAATGCCCTCTGCCTGCAGCCCCCTCCACTAGGAAACCCCTCCCTGATGGATGCCAAGCACCGCCTGGTGCCAGGCCCCAGGCGGGCCGGGTGGGGGGAGGGTGCCCGTGGGGAACACAGGGCACCAGCCCGACTGGGGCTCGGGCTCCCTGGGTGCACAGGGTTGGGGTGGGCTCACTCAGACCAGCTCTCCGTTAGAGGAGGGAGAGGAAGGCCAGGTGGGGGAATTGGCCCTCCCTCGCTGGGGTTCTGACCACAGCCCCCCTGGGCCTCTTTCTTGACAGAAAAATGCATGAAGGAGCCAGAATAGGTGAGCCAGGTGGGACTGTGGGCCAGCTTCACCCCGGCAGCAGCCGCCCTCTCACGCGTTCATTCATTCTGCACACATCCACCACCCGCCCCGGCATGGGTCGGGGTCCCTGGACAGCCTGGTCCTAAGACCGACCCCTGCCAGGGTTGGGCGGGAGACTCAGGCCCTCCTTGAACTGAGCAGATGTGCAGGTGTGCGGGGCAGAAAGGAGGCCTGGTCCCCGCTGCTGGAACAGGGCTGACTCTCAAAGGCTCAGGGGGGCCCCAGGCAGGCAAGGGTCCAGGTTCCAGGTCCCTGGGAGATAAGGGGGAGGGGCTCCACCTGCAGGGACCATCCTGCTGCTAGGGTCTCTGGCCCCTGGGTGCAGGAAGGACCCAGGGTGAGGCAGACGGGATGAGGGAGGGATGGGGGACCGAGTAGGGCACTGGACTCTGCCTCGGGGACCAGGCTCTAGCGGGCTTCACCCCTGCCCCCGGAGGGAGCCCTGGGCTGGAAGTGCAGTCTGTGGTCTGGGGCAGGGAGAGGCTGAGAGGTGCCTGCACCGATGGATCCTGCTCTCCCGGCCAGGTGACCCCAGCCCTCGGGACCGCTCTGCTGTGCTCTTTCCTCGGAACACCAGCCCTGGCTCTCCCCAAATCGCCTCTGTCCCCCGGCTCTGATAAATAAACTCCTGAAGCAAGTCAGCAGCCTGGCTCCTGCCTGTCTGTCCTGTCCTCCCTGCCTCTGGCCACTGGACCACCCCTCAGCAAGACGTCAGCAAAGGGGGCGGGCTCTGCCCTCCAGCTAGTGGGGGAGCCCTCGCTGTCCCCAGCCACCCACACAGGGCTTCGCTGTCCCCAGCCACCCACACAGGGCTGCGACCTTGGCACAGCCTCACCCCCCAGCTGCCAGCCATAGCCAGGCCCGTTCCGGGCTGGCGGGGGTGAGCCACTGGGCTCCTAATCCCTTAGGCAGGTGCCCCCTCTTGCAGGGGTGGGGAACCCGTGGCCTCTGGATCCTTGAGTGAGGCCTTTTGACTGAATCCAAATTACACAGGGATTTGTTCTGTGAAGTCTGGATTTGGTTGAGGGGCCGCACTTGGGAATCTGGGGGGAGCTTTGGTTCCGGTGGGTTTGTCAAGGAGCGGGATTATCTACTCAGAGTGGGCAGAGATAAGGGTTTCAGGGACTAAAAAGAACATTTGTTTGGAAGATGCTAGAGTGTCTATGCCCTGTGCCAGGACAGACTGACACAGTGGGCTGGGGACCGGCCTCCCTAAGCACCCCAGCCCCCTGGCCTCTGGCGCGGGACTCCAGCGCACACACAGCCCTGCCCACTTGCTGAGCCTTGGCACCCAGGCCACAGGGGGTGAGCTTCTGGGTGTCCTTCCTGGGGACCGTGCCTGAGCTGAGGGCTGGGGACCAACACCCCAGAGAGGCAGGGTGCCTGTCAGCCTACGTGCCCCCAGCTGCTGGGCATCCCGCCCGCCTGCAGGGGATGGGCGGGGATGGGTGCAGGCAGCTGGGCCAGGTGCTTGCTGCAGGGTGCAACTCGATCGCAGCCTATCGCAGTGGGCTCTGTCCCAGGTGGGCAGGCCAGCTGCCGCAGGGCATCCCAGGGGCATAAATGCTGCATGAGGGGACCTCCCCGACACTGCCCTGCTCTGGCACCTGCGGAGTGGCCCTGCCCGCCATCCGCCACGATGCTGCAGGCTCTGCTGACCGGCTCCTTCCTCATCCTGTTCGGACTGTCCCCAGGCCAGGCCCAGGTCCCCATCCAGGCCAACTTTGACGCCAGCCAGGTGCGCCCAGATCCATCCCTTCCTGCTCATGGATGGTCCCTGCCCACAGCCTCTATGATCCAGGCTCAGGAAAGAGCCCCTGCCCTCCTGCCGCGTGGGGCTGGGAGTGGGGTGGGCTGAGGAAGTCAGCAAGCCCCCAGCCCAGCCTTTGGATTGCACCCACCGCCACTCCCTAGGGCCTGAAACTGGGGCGGGGAGCACCTCGACCCCCAGTTCTGGGTCAGGGCCGTGGCGGGTGTGAGGTTGCTGGCACTGTGCCCCAGCTGGGAAGCAGCTGTGGGGGACAGGCCGAGGCAGGCTCGGGGCCAGGGTTCAGGCTGGGGCCCGGGGGTGCCTCCCAGCCCTCCCTGCCCCCACCCTGCAGTTCCAGGGCACCTGGTACGTGGTCGGGGTGGTGTCAGATGACCAGGGCTTCCTGGACTCCAAGGACAACATGAAGATGCCTGTGGTCTTAGTGACCCCCTTGGCCAACGGTGACCTGGGCCTCAAGTTTGGGTATCCCACGTAAGTGACCCCGCAGCTCGGACCGGGCCTCAGACAAGGCCAGTGTGAGGCCAGAGGGTGGCCGGCAGAGCCAGAGGTGTGCCTGACATGTCACGGGCTCAGACCACAGGCTGCAGGGACCCAAACAGCAGCAGCAGCTGGCACGCTCCCCAGAGGGGCCGGGCCATGTGGAAGCCTCTGCCTGAGTCCTGGGCGTGGAGAAAGTGGTGTCAGCATGTCTGCGTCTGTGTGCCGGCGTGTGCGTGTCGCTGTGTGTATCTGTGTGTGTGCCAGCGTCTGTCTGTGCGTGTAGCTGTGTGTATCTGTGTGTGTGCCAGTGTCTGTGTGTGTAGCTGTGTCTGCATGTGTACCAGTGTCTGTCTGTGCGTGTAGCTGTGTGTATCTGTGTGTGTGCCAGCGTCTGTCTGTGCGTGTAGCTGTGTGTATCTGTGTGTGTGCCAGCGTCTGTCTGTGCTAAGCCTGTGGTGCTCTCGCGTGTGTGCCAGTGGTCTATATCCTGTGCGGTGTCAGCTGTGTGTGCGTCCGCCATATGTACCAGGTGTCCTGTCCTGTGCGTGTAGCTTGTGTGTGTCCGCATGTGTACCAGCGTCCTGTCTGTGGCGTGTCAGCTGTGTGTCTGCGTGTGTACCAGTTCTGTCCCCTGTGCTGTAGCGTGTGTCGTACTGTGTGTGTGCCAGCGTCTATCTGTGCATGTAGCTGTGTGTCATCTGCGCTGTGTCACCCAGCCGTTCTGTCCTGTAGCGTGGTAGCTTGTGTGTGTCGTGCGTGTGTGCCAGCGTCATGCTGCTATGCTGTAGCTGTAGTGTGTCTGCGTGTCGTACCAGCAGTCTATCTGTGCGTGTAGCTGTATGTTGTCCTGCCGTGTGTACCAGCTGTCTATCTGTGGCTTGGTGTCTTGCGTGTGTACCAGCCGTCTGTCTGTGCGTTGTAGCTGTGTGTCTGCGTGTGTACGCAGCGTCTAATCTGCTGGGGTGTAGCTGTATGTGTCTGCGTGTGTACCAGTGTCTATCTGTGTGTGTCTGCGTGTGTACCAGCGTCTGTCTGTGCGTGTAGCTGTGTGTCTGCGTGTGTACCAGCGTCTATCTGTGCGTGTAGCTGTGTGTGTGTGTGTGCCAGCGTCTATCTGTGCGTGTCGCTGTGTGTGTCTGTGTGTGTGCCAGTGTCTATCTGTGCATGTAGCTGTGTGTGTCCGCATGTGTACCAGCGTCTGTCTGTGCGTGTAGCTGTGTGTGTCTGTGTCTCTGGAGGGAGGCTGGAGACCCTGCACCGCCGGCCGTGTGCCCTAGAGCAAGTCCTTACCACCTGCCCCCTCCCCAGTAGGAGAGTCCCCCCTGCAGGATGACCATACAGCACCTGTGTCCTCTGAGAGCTGTTGTCAGGGTGAATTAGGGGCTGTCAACAGCGGTGTGGCTGCAGCGCCCGAGGGACCCCAGGCAGCCCTTGCCTGGGCCCTGACGGCTGCTCAGAGGGCTGGGCTCCCGTCCCCAGGCCAGACGGCGGGTGCCAGAAGATGGACATGACCTTCACCAAGGGGGCCACGGAGGGGCAGTTCAGCAACCCAGGTGAAGCCGGACGAGGCTGCGGCAGGACAGAGCGGGTGGGGCCTTGGGGCTCTGCAGGCTGTCTGTCTGCACTGGGCCAAGCCGTGTGGGGGGTTATGCGTTCCGGGGCGGGGCGTCTGGGAGCGATTGGGGGGGTGTCCTGGCTGAGGGTCACCCGCTCTCCCTCCCCCAGCCATGGCCCAGACTGACATCCGGGTGGCCTTCACGGACTACCAGCACTTCGCCGTGTTATACTTCGAGACGCAGAAAGGGGGCGTGCGGAACGTCTGGCTGCAGCTCTACGGTGGGCGGGACATGGGGGTCGAGGTCCCCTCCCCAGGAGGTCTAGTCTGGAGTGTGGCCCATGTGCACGTTCCAGCACGTTCTCAACATGCAGGGGGACCCTGGGACCCGAGTTTGTGGCCGCGTGGTCCGGACTCCTCCTGCCCTCCCTGGCCCCACCCCGCCCACTCCCCTCGAGCCTGAGCCTCCGAGGTCACCGGCCCACTCTGCCCTCAGCCCGAGCCCCGGAGCTGTTTCCCGAAGGCGCCCAGAAGATGCAGACCCTGGCACCCCAAGTGGGCCTCAACCCCAGCGAGGGCGCCCTGCTGCCCAAGTCCGGTGAGCGCAGTCCCCGCCCCTGCTGGGAGGGCCAGGCCCTGGGGGTCACGCCCCTGACCCCAGACATGAGACACAAGTGCCGGGGGCAGCTCTGCCTGTTTGACCCAGGGGAGGACGAGACATTGCGCAGGCAGGTGCCCCGTGGGGGTCGCAGTTTGGGAGGATGGGGGCTCCCCCACCCCAGGGAAAGGGGGCAGGGGGCGACTCCTCAGGCCCGCTCTCTCCCGCAGACCAGTGCGCCGGCGCCCTCTCCCAGGTGAGTGGACCCGCGGGGCGGGGCCGGCGCCCCGGGACCAGTGAAGGCCCCTCCCGGCGGGGGCGGGGCGCACTGCGGGGTCGTCGGTCGTGACGCAGGGCGGGGGGGTGGCTCCAGCATCAAGGCAGAGAGGGGCAGCGGGCGGCAGCGGGGCTGGGCGGGGCTGGGCGGGGGAGGGCGCAGGAGACGCCCCCACCCCGCCCCTGTTTTGCAGTGACGGATTCAGCCCGAGCGCGGCTGGGGCGAGCAGCCGCCGCGCACTCCGCGCACCGCGCTCTCCCTCGGAGCCCCGTTCTCTCCACACCCGGCCCGAGCTCAATAAACGGTCTCAGAAAGCCTGTGCGCTGCTCACTACTGGGGGGCGGGCGCGGTAGAGAGTGGGGGCGGGGGCGGCTGGCATCAGCGCGGGGCTCGGGCTTGGACCGCGCAGAGCCGACCTTCCTCCGTCGGGCGCGGAGGCCGGGTCCCCTCGCTGGGCGCGGGCTGGGCAGGCGTTCAGCCAGACCGACTGAGGCTCGGCTCTGCAGGAGGGAGGCTCATCCCGGCGGCCGGGGAGGTCAAAGGGCTTTCCTGGCTCCCCGCGGACCCCGGACGCCCGGACTAAAGGTGTGGCCCCAGCTTAGCAGCCGAGCGCGCGGTGCGTTTAGTGCACCGACCCACGCCACGTGCGCCCCGGGCTCCGGCGGACGGCGCGGACGTGGTTGGCCTTCCGGAACCTCCCAGACTGCAGCCCGGAGCCTGTGTCTGGGCAGCTTCCCTCCCCAGGCGCCCCTGCCCGTGGCCCTAACTTCCATGACTCCTGGCCCCAGGTGCCCACCCCATTCCCAGCCCACTCACTACCTGCGCCAGCCTGGCCGCTGCAGAGGCCAAGTGCCTTGCACCCTCTGCCCTCCTTCCCCTCTCTCCCTGCCTGTGCCCTCCCTCCTCTCTCTCCCTGCTGAGGGTCTGGGGAGAGGACGGGAGGAGCGTGTATAAAACTGTCCTGCCTTTGTGTTCACGGGGGAGAATAGTGTTAAAAGACATCCTGAACACTCTGGGAGGCCGTGACAGGTGGATCATTTGAGCTCAGGAGTTCGAGACCAGCCTGAGCAAGAGCGAGACCCCGTCTCTACTAAAAATAGAAATAAATCAGCTAGACAACTAAAAATACATAGAAAAAATTAGCCGGGCATGGTGGTGCATGCCTGTAGTCCCAGTTACTCAGGAGGCTGAGGCAGGAGGATGGCTTGAGCCCAGGAGTTTGAGGTTGCTGTGAGCTAGGCTGACGCCACAGCACTCACTCTAGCCTGGGCAACAAAGTGAGACTCTGACTCAAAAAAAAAAAAAAAAAGTCCTGAAGAATTGGAGGTTAAATGGCATACTGCCTGTAATGTACACGATTTAGCAAAATAATAACTAATACTGGTTATCAATTTGTCAAAATGTTAATTGATCCATCTGGGCGATGGGTCTGTGGAGCTCATTGTGCTAATATTTCTGCTTTTCAGCTGGTTAGAAAGTTTTCATTAAAAAACACAACCAGGCCAGGCACAGTGGCTCACGCCTGTAACCCTAGCACTCTGGGAGGCCAAGGCAGGAGGATCGCTTGAGCCCAGGAGTATGAGACCAGCCTGAGCAAGAGTGACACCCCATCTCTACTAAAAATAGAAAAATTAGCCAGCTGTAGTGGTGTGCACCTGTAGTCCCAGCTACTCAGGAAGCTGAGGCAGGAGGATCCCTTGAGCCCAGGAGTTTGAGGTTGCTGTGAGCTATGATGTTGCCACGGCACTCTAGCCTGGGTGACAGAGTGACTCTGTCTCAAAAAAAATAAATAAAAACCACAACCCTATCTTGCCAGACTTGCTTTCTTTGCTTGGGGCCCCTGGGGCTGGAAGGTCAGAGATAAGGAGTCCCCCCCCCCAGTAACCCTAGACAGCCCCTCCACACCTGCACCAACACCTGGGCGCCCAGTGACCTTTAATGGCCTGCACCTGCTGGCCTCTGGCAGAGCTGTGAACAGTACAGAGGCAGGGTTCTGCCCAGGTCCTGCCCCTGCCCCCAGCCCCAAGGCCTGGGGAGGGGAGTGGTGTGGAAAGGCCCGGAGAGCCAACTGCACCCCCATGTCTGCAGCCTGTGCAGCTCTCCCTCTGGGGCAGGCTACACAGGGCAACGCTTGGGCAGGGCAGGGACGCCCACCTTAGAGAGGCATCAGCTGAGAGCTACTGTCTGAGCTCCAACTACCACTAGAGTCACCTGTCGATTGTCATTCAGCTTCCACATGGACCAAAAGAAGAGGTGGAAGCCGGCGCCATGGCAGCAGCAGGGTTGAAGCAGAAAGGTGCGGGGGCTCACTTCCCTGCAGACTGGCAGAGGTGCCGCCGCACTCCCCTGGGAGGGGTCTAGAGTGGGCAGCGTCCTCCATGGCCTCAGACACATCCTTCCCTTCTTTTTGGGTTGGGGCAGTCCCTGGGGACCTCTGTGGGTCCAACAGTGGTCACACCCCCACTCCTGCAGTTCAGCTCTGAACTCTCATGTCCTGCACCACCCTGCCGGGGCCACCCAGGCACAGCCCTCAGCCTGATCTCCACCCAGAAGCCCAGGGGAGGTGTGTACGAGACATGTCAGAGGAGGCCCTCACTGCTGCGAACTGCCCGCGGTGGATCCCATCGCACTGAGAGTAAAGGCCGGAGTCCTAATGGTGGCCCACGGCCCCCCGCCACAGGCTCTCTCTGACCCCACCTTCTACTCCCCACCAGTCCTACTGCTGCCTTGTGTCCTTTGAACGTGCCAGCCCCATACCTGCCACAGGGCCTTTGCACAGGCTGCCCCTTCCTGCAGTGCCCTTCTCCAGCTGTCCACTCAGCTCACTCACTCCCCATCCGAAGTGTTTTGCTTGGTCCTTCCTTTGGCCTCCAGGACCCTGAGCCTTGGCTGCCCCCACCCCTCTGGAGCTCTCCTCTCTACCTTTTGCTCCGCAGCCCGGGTGCAGGGCCAGCCCTCGCTCCTCCCTGCTCTCCCTTACTCGCTGCTTCAGGCCTGGGTGCCCGGGGCCTTCCTGGAGCCTCCCCCTTCTCTGCTTTTGAGGCTCCACTCACGTTGCATCCGTACACCTCCACATGCCCCCGTACCCCACGTCACACAAGTTGCTCACGAAGGAAGAGCTGAGTTGCTCTAGACTGGCTGGCAGGTTCCAATTCTAGACATTCATGCAATTATTTAAATGAAGAGTCGGCAGTTTTGTTTTTTTGTTTTGTTTTGTTTTGTTTTTTATCATGTTTTGGAACTAATCTGTGTTTTGGGTCTTGTATTAGTTTCCCATGGCTGCTGCAGCAAACTGTCACAAACGTGTAGCTTGAAACATTCATTTCTTCTCTTACAGCTTTTGAGGCTAGGTGTCCAAAATCAGTTTCACTGATTTGGGGCCGGGCTGTGCTCCCCGAAAGGCTCTACGGGAGAGTCCTTCCTGCCTCTCCTGGCTCCTGCTGGCAGTGGCAACCCTTGGCTTGTGGCTGCATCACTCCCCTCCCTCCCTGCATGCCATGCTGCCTTCTTCCTTCCTGGGCCAAAGCATCCCCTGCCTCCCTCTTATAAGGACAAATGAGATGGCGTTTGGGGCCCATGCAGATAACCCAGGGTAATCTCCCCATCCCAAGATCACATCTGGGCCGGGCGTGGTGGCTCACACCTGTAATCCTAGCACTCTGGGAAGCCGAGGCAGGCAGATTGCTCGAGGTCAGGAGTTCAAAATCAGCCTGAGCAAGAGTGAGACCCCGTCTCTACTATAAATAGAAAGATATTAATTGGCCAACTAATATATATAGAAAAAAATTAGCCGGGCATGGTGGTGCATGCCTGTAGTCCCAGCTACTCGGGAGGCTGGGGCAGCAGGATTACTGTAGCCCAGGAGTTTGAGGTTGCTGTGAGCTAGGCTGATGCCACGGCACTCACCCTAGCCTGGACAACAAAGCGAGACTCTGTCTCAAAAAAATATATATATATATCACATCTGCAGCCCGGGAGGCTGAGGAGGGAGGGTGGCTTGAGCCCAAGAATTTGAGGCTACAGTGAGCTATGGTTGTGCCACTGCACTCCAGCAAACAATGATCACATCTATAAAGATCCCTATTCTGTGTTCCTATACAAGATAAAATTCACAGGGAGGTTCCAAGCATTAGGACATGATAACTCTGGGGTCCTTTGTTCAGCCTCCCACATTCTACTTGGAAACGTCTTCCTAGGCCCTGGGCACTGTGTCTTGACAGACTAGTGTTTAAGGCAGCCCTGCGCCCTGGCAAGTCCACATTCATGTCTCCAGCTCACACCTTCCCTAGACTAGGGCCTCGTAGACACAGGGCCTCATCCCTGTGGACATCCGGCTGACATCTCAGAGCTCACCTGACAAAGGGGACGCCCCACATCCTCTCCAAACCTGTCCCACCCTGGTCATCTCGGGGACAACCCTCCCCATTTCCACCCTCCCCAGATATAGGGTCGTCCTTGCTCTGCCACCAGCCCTTTTCTCTCCACCTGCATCCCAGCCCATGGCCCAGCCCCCATCAGCTGTGCCCTGAGACCAGCAGCCCTCTGGTGCCCTCCCTGCCCCATCACCCCACCCCTGCAGCCTCCTTCCCCTCCCCTCACAGCACAGAGCGTGGGCTTTGCACACATAAATCAGACATGCCACCCCCCATCCACCCTGCTGAAACCTCCACCAGCCCCCACCCTTCCATCCATCCATCCATCCATCCAATCACAACACTCACTGAGCATCTCCATGTGCCAGGCACTGTTGAAGCACCAAAGACATAGATATGGTGGCAAATAAGAGAGAAACCCCTGTCTTCATGGACCATGGAGATGGACAATAAGAGGATAAGTGGACTGGGCATCTACTGCTGAGTAACAAATGACCCCGGAATTTACTAGCTTTAAACAAGTGTGTATTGTCTTCCTGGTTTTTTTTTTTTTTTTTTTTTTTTTTTAGACAGAGTCTTGCTTTCTTGCCCAGGCTAGAGTGAGTGCCGTGGCATCAGCCTAGCTCACAGCAACCTCAAACTCCTGGGCTCAAGCGATCCTCCTGCCTCAGCCTCCCGAGTAGCTGGGACTACAGGCACAAGCCACCATGCCCGGCTGATTTTTATATTATATATATTAGTTGCCCAATTAATTTCTTTCTATTTTTATGGTAGTGACGGGGTCTCGCTCAGGCTGGTTTTGAACTCCGGACCTTGAGCAATCCGCCCGCCTTGGCCTCCCAGAGTGCTAGGATTACAGGCGTGAGCCACCACACCCGGCCTTCTTTTTCTTTTCTTAAGAGATGGGGTCTTGCTCTGTCACCCAGGCTAGAGTGCAGCGGTGTCATCAGGCAGCCTCAAACTCCTTGGGCTCAAGCGATCCTCCTGCTTCAGCCTCCCGAGTCGCTGGGACTACAGGCATGCGCCACACCTGGCTGATTTTTGATTTTTTTTGTAGAGATGGGGTCTTGCTATTTCGCCCAGGCTGGTCTTGAACTCTTGGCCTCAAGTGACCCTCCTGCTTCGGCCTCCCAAAATGCCAGGATTACATGTGAACCACCACACCTGGCTTATCGCTGTTTCTTTCTTTCTTTTTTTTTTTTTTTTGAGACAGAGTCTTGCTTTGATGCCCAGGCTAGAGTGAGTGCCATGGCGTCAGCCTACCTCACAGCAACCTCAAACTCCTGGGCTCCAGCGATCCTCCTGCCTCAGCCTCCCGAGTAGCTGGGACCACAAGCATGTGCCACCATGCCTGGCTAATTTTTTCTATATATATTAGTTGGCCAATTAATTTCTTTCTATTAATAGTAGAGACGGGGTCTCGCTCTTGCTCAGGTTGGTTTCGAACTCCTGACCTCGAGCAATCTGCCCGCCTTGGCCTTCCAGAGTGCTAGGATTACAGGCGTGAGCCACCATGACCGGCCATGCTGTTTCTGAGGGTCAGAAATGTCCTCAGTTACAAGATCAAGCCGGGGCTGTGGCTTCAAGGGGAGGCCCAGCTCAGGGGAGTGTCTTCTTCCCAGTCCCTCACTGTCGGCAGGGTTTGGTCCTTTGCCACTCCAACATCTCCATAGGGCTGCCTAATGTCACGCTGGGCATTTCAGGAGGGAAGGACAAGTGACGGCCCATCACTTCTGCCATATTCTAGCAGCCAGAAGAGAGTCATTAAGCCCGGCTCAAGGGGAGGGGATTACACAAAGGTGTGATCTTCCAGGAGGCTAGAACAGTTGGGGCCATCTTAGAGGCCACTACTGCAAGAAGTAAACTAGGATGTCCTTGATATAGTGACAAGTATGGAAAATAACTAAATGAAACAGGAGAGAGGGGCATGAGACCTGTGAAATGTTATATACAGTGGCCAGGGAAGGGGACTTTTGAGTAAAGACCTGAAAGAAAGGGTGGGAGGCAGAGGAAGTGTGTGAGTCCGGGGAAAGGATGTGTCAGGGAGACACAGCAGCCTGTGCAAAGGCCCTGAGGCAGGAGCCCCTGCAGGACTGAAGGGGCGGGAACCAGAAGAAAGCAGAAGCAGAGGCACGCTGGGCTGAGGGCAGCCTGGATACCTAGCATACCCTGCAAGCTCACTGGGCCTCCCCACAGCCACCCTGCCGTCACCTTAGCCTTCTTGCAAAGCCTTGAGCAGAGCTGTTCTGCTCCCTCCGTGGGGCCTCTGCCTGGGACCCCCATTCTGGCACACTCCACCCTTATCTTACTCAAAGGCGCAGTCGGACAGCACCTGCCCCGTATCCAAGTTGCTCCCAACGGGCAGCACCAGCTGCAGGTCCTGCCTAGCACGGGCCCTGCGCGAGGGCTGCGCTTGTCTGTCACTTGTCTCCCCCACTCGCTCCTACAAGCCCCACAGGTCAGAGACCTTGACCCTGATCACGGTGTCCCCAAGGCCTAGGACGGCACGGGCAGGATGGATTCATGAGTGACGGACCTCCCCCGCCAGTCGCTATCATTTACTCACTTTTGTCTTTGTCACAGTGAGGCGTCAGCAAGACCCGCGTGTGTATCTAAACATGATGCGACACATTCCGGGGGGGGCGGGGCGAGTGGCCTGGCGGGGCGGGCTGGGGCTAGGCCGGGCCAGGAGGGAAGCCCCGGACTCCGCGGGGGCCAAGGGGCCCAGGAGGGGCGAGGCTGAGAGGCACCCGCCCAGGCTGGAGCTCAGGAGCACAGACGGAGCATCCCGCCCCGCGCTCACACTAAGCTCCGCCCCACCATCCGCACTGAGCTCGCTCCGACCCCCCCACTAAGCTATGCCCCACAGTGGCCCCGCACTAACCTCCGCTCCGCCCCGGCCCTAACACTAAGCTCCCGTCCGCCCTGCCGCCGCCCCAAGAGGCGGGCCACCCCACCCTCCGCACTGAGCTCGCTCCGACCCCCCCACTAAGCTATGCCCCACAGTGGCCCCGCACTAACCTCCCCTCCGCCCCGGCCCTAACACTAAGCTCCCGTCCGCCCTGGCCCAGCCCTAAGCGCCACCCCACCCTCCGCACTGAGCTCGCTCCGACCCCCCCCCACTAAGCTATGCCCCACCGTGGCCCGGCACTAACCTCCGCTCCGCCCCGGCCCTAACACTAAGCTCCCGTCCGCCCTGGCCCCGCCCTAAGCGCCACCCCACCCTCCGCACTAAGCTCCTCTGGGCTCCACCCCAGGATTGAGCTCCGCCCTACCTCCGCTCCCCACCGCCGGCACTAAGCTCCGCCCCACCCACCACTAAGCTCAGCTCCGTCCTGGCCCCCGCAGTAAACTCTGCCTCGCCCTGGCCTCCCCCACCCCACCCCCTGCACTAAGCTCCGCTCCGGCCTGGCCCCACCCTAAGCCCTGCCCCGCCTTCCCACTAAGCTCCGCCCCGCCCTGGCCCCGCCCCAAGCCCCGCCCATCCTCAGGCCCCGCCCCTGCCCTAAGATCCACTCCACCCTGGCCCCGCTCTAAGCTTCACCGCCCTTGCCCTTCTGTAGTAACCTCCGCTCAGCCCTGGCCCTGCACTAAGCTCTGCCCCGCCTTCCCACTAAGCTCCGCCTCATTCTGGCCCCGCCCTAACCCCGCCCACCCTCAGGCCCCGCCCCCGCCCTAAGATCCACTCCACCCTGGCCCCGCTCTAAGCTTCACGGCCCTTGCCCTCCCGCGCTAAGCTCCACCCCTCCCTGGAACTAAGCTCCGCCCCCCGGCTCCGCAGCCACCCGGCCGACCCAGGGTCCGAGCTAGGCCCGGGTCCTAAGCCCCGCCCCGCGCAGGCTCCGCAGGCCCCGCTGCGTCTCGCCGCGTCCCGAAGCCCCGCCCCCAGCTCTGGAAGCCGCGCCCCCCGGCCCGACTCCGGCGTGCGCAGGCTCCCTGACCCCACGACCAGCCTGTGCCTGGCTCCGGAAGCCGTCCTTCCGCGCAGGCGCACTAAGCCTGCAGCGGGCCCGCCCTTCCTGGAGTCCCAGGCCTGTTCGTGCTGGGTCCCCTCGGGCGGGGCTGCCATGGTGCTGCCGCTGCCGCTGTCGGCGCCGCTGTGCACACTGCCGCCCGGCCCCGGGCAGCCTCGGTTCGTGTGCTACTGCGACGCGGAGGGAAGCGGGGACGGGGACCTCGGCGCCTTCAACCTCTAGTGAGTGGGGTCCGCGGGAGGGAGGCGCTCGGGGAGCCCTGCGCGGCCCTTCTGACAGCCGCCCCGCCCCGCCCCAGTGTGACGGACGCGGAGGCGCTGTGGAGCACCTGCTTCACGCCGGACAGCCTGGCGGCCCTCGTGAGTAACGGGACACCTGGGCAGGTCAGGGAGCCTGCACCCCCATACCTGCAGGCCAGACCGCCTGGGGGTTAAGGGGATCTGGGATACCCCAGAACGGTCTGAGCACCCCCATTTCCCTGCCTGGTGGCTGTAGTCCTAAAGTTTCCCTGGGACCCCAGGTGGCTCTGAGGCCTGGCACGTTTGGGTTGTCCCCAGTGGGTCCAGGGTCCCAAGCAGCTGGTGACCAGCTTCTGTGCCCCGTAGAAAGCCCGTTTTGGCCTGAGCGCGGCTGAAGACATCACTCCCCGGTTCAGGTGAGACTCGAGCAGGGGAGAAGGGTGCGCGGGAAGCGGGTGGGTCTGGCCACAGCACTCAGCACCTCTCCTATCTCCCAGGGCAGCCTGCGAGCAGCAAGCTGTGACTCTGACCCTGCAGGAGGACAAAGCATCCCTGACCCTTTCAGGGGGCCCCTTGGCCCTGGCCTTTGACCTGTCCAAGGTGCCTGGCCCAGAGGCAGCCCCCAGGTTGCAGGCACTGACACTGAGCCTAGCAAAGCGTGTGTGCAGCTTGGAGCGGCAGCTGACAGGTAAGGTGGGAGTGGGCATCCCAGACCCTTGCTTGGATCCCCTGCTCCTGGCACCAAGTGGGTCTCCACTGGCTTTCTTCCCCAGCTGCAGGAGAGACAGCTCCCAGCCCCAGGAAGAGCTCCCGGCCTGCAGGGCCTCAGCTCTTCTTGCCAGGTAACATTTGTCAGTCTGACTTTGGGTTGGGCTGTGCTCTTTCCTCTGGAACACAGTTTCTCCAGAACAAGCTTTAAGCTCCAGAGGGAGGATCTGTCTGTTGGGAGAGGGCTGTGGCCAGGGGTGCTGCCAGGTTCAGGAGCCCCTACATCCTAGCATCCTATGTTCCCCCAGATCCAGATCCCCAGAGAGGTGGCCCTGGACCTGGGGTCAGGAGAAGGTGTCCGGGAGAGTCCCTTATCAACCCTGGCTTTAAGAGGTACTTGCCCCTCCCTGTGTCCTGGGTCCAACCTGGACTCTGCCCCTCCCTCTACACTCCATTGTGTCACCCTTCTTCTCTCCTAGCAAGAAACCAGCTGGCGGCGTAAACTTTGATGAAACCTGAGGGTACAGCAAAAAGTGTGGCCCTGCTGAGACTCTGCTTGTGAGGGGAGGGGTATCCCCCAAGCCCCCTCCCCCCCACTGGAGACCTCCACCACCCATTCCACTTGCCTGTCCTGCTGCCAGGCAGGAATAAGGCAGCTCCTCAAGTCCCTTTGCCACCAAATAAATACTCCCTCGGGGTGCAGGTGCTGACCAAGCTCTGGCTTCTGGGCATTGGTCTGGGGAGGGGTGTCAGGGAACCCCCTTGGGGTCTGTACTCTGGGCAGGGGGCCACAGGGTGTAACCGCAGCACCAGGCTCCCAGGTCTGGAGGAGGCTTTTCCTAGCTGGGTCCAGGGATGGCAAGGGAGCTCTCTCGGACCTGTGCAGCCATTCCTGTCTGGACAGCCCAGGCGCCGAGAGGGGCCCAACCAGAGTCAGGGCTCTCCAAGGCTTCGAACCCTGTTCTGGCTGTTCCGAGCCCCACCCGGGAAGGGCACGGCCACAAGTGCGCCACACAGGGGTGCACACAGGAGAAAGTCCTGTGCAGATAGATGTTTGGGTGGCAATCACCCTGAAGCCCCCTGGGGGGAGGAGGATGGCCTGCTGCCTGGGACTGGGCTGCAGAATGTGGGCCAGCTCCCACCCACCTGGCCTGGAGCCCAGAGGTGGTGTTTCGTGGACTCCCCACCCTCCTTGGCCATCCAGGGTGCCCTGCCCCACCCTGGCCTGACTGGTTTGGGAGCCCAATCCTGTCCCCAAGATCCCTGACGCCACCACTGCAGGAGGCCCCAAGTGGGTGGCCTGACTCAGTGTGGGGAGGTGGACCACGCCCTGACCACTGGGCCCTCCTGCCCGTGTCTTTCTGGGCTGTCATCTTAGGTTGAGCGTCCCACCCTGGAGGCTTGGGGATGAGAAGCACGTCCAGGTGGGGGCAGTGCCCGTGGGGCCCTCAGATGCCAGGACTCGCGCACTCAGGCAGAGAAACCTTTATGGGGCCGCAGATGCAGGGGCGGGGCGGGGGCGCACGGCGGGCCGGTAGGCCGCCAGGATCTCCGAGCTGTGCGGACATGTGTACTTGAACTCCTTCTCCCGCATCGCGCAGTCCAGGTAGCGGCGGACGCCGCGCAGCTCGGCGGGGATGGGCGCCTGGCGAAAGTGCGCGCACGCCGTCTGCGGTCGAGGGGCGTGGTCAGGACCCCCTCCCAGGTCCGCCCGTGCCCCCGGCCCCGCCCTCGCCCGCGCTCACGTCTACGATGTGCAGTTTGGGCAGCAGGCGGCAGTCGGCCAGGGAGAGCTGGTCGCCATCCAGGAAGCGGCGGCGCGACTCGCGCAGCCGGGGCTCCCGCTCCAGTTCGTGCTCCAGGGGCGCGAGCAAGTAGCTGTCTAGCCTGGCGAGGGCGCGCAGCAGCTGCTGGTACAGGGCTGGGGGCGGGTGTGCGGTGAGCGGCGGGCCCGGGGCGCGCCCTCCCGCCCCGGCGTCCACAACCCTGCCTCACCGTCGTCCTGCGCGGGCACCGGGTTCTTGATGAACGCGGAGAACTTGTGGAAGATGTCGTTACCCGCTGTGTTGGACTCCCTATATCGGGGCGCCAGGCTGGGGAAGCTGCGGGGGTCGGGGGTGAGGGACCTGGGTCAGGCCCTCCTGCTGCTGCCCTGCTCCCGCCCCGCAGTACCCCAAAGCACCCTCTCAGAGCTGTCCTGGGGGCGTCCTCCCTGGAGCCCCATCTTTGTCCCGCCCTCGCGGGCCCTCACTCGGGTGGCCCCAGGGTCTCCTCCAGAAACTCTTCGATCTGCAGCGTGTCCGTCTTGGCGTCACCATCGCACAGCAAGATGGGCAGCTGTGAGCCGGGGGCGAAATCCTTCAGCACGTCCGGGGACCTGTGGGCACCGGCAGGGAAGGAGGGGGCTGGCCCACCGGCATGCGGAGGCCAGGGAGGCGCCCCAGGGTGGGGTCTCACCTGCGCGTGTCCACCGTGGTGAGTGTGAAGGGCACGCCCTTGAGGAGCAGGACCATGAAGAGCCGCTGGCAGGAGGGGCAGTGCCCCACGCTCTCCCCATCCTCGCTCGCCTGGGGTGGGTGGAGCAGAGAGTGCTGGGCTGGGAGCAGACCCAGGAACCTGCCACCAGGCTGGGTGGGACCCTGCCTCCCACTGCCAGCGGAACTGGAGCAGCGCCAGTTCTCTGGCTCGGTCAGCCCGGCCTCCAAGTGCCCAGTGAGGGCTCTTGACTCGTTCCCCAGGAGATGGGGAGGGGCGGGACCCTGGCTGTGGGGCCCGGCGCCTGGCACTTTATCTTCAGAACCTGGGCAGAGGCCAGGCCCCTGGGCTTGGGCCCCAGTAGCTGGTTGCAAGGGTGGGGTGAGCCCAGCAAGCTGTTTTCTGAGTGATCTACCTGCCAGACTGGGCACTGCCTGGAAGCACAGGGCTCCCCCAAGCCCTGCGGGTGGGAAGGGGGCTGAGGCCTGGCAGCCTCCAACCCCCCCCCCACACACACACACACAGGGATCTGGACACCAGCCTGAGAGATGATAGAGCTGCCCGGCCCAGCACCCCCTTCCTGGCACACTGATCTTTGCTCCAGGAGGGCCGGGCTGGGCCTGGGAGCCAAGGCTGGGAGTGGGCCCAGGGCCACACTGACCCCCTTATGGGGGTGACTCTCTGGGTTCTTCTCCCCCAGGCTGTCCCCGCTTCACTCAGCCTCTGTAGGGCTGCCTGAGTCCCCTGAGCCCAGCACAGGGGAGGGGCTCAGACACTGCTGGACAGGCCCACGACTCAGCTGGCCCCATAAAGCAGTCCCCAAAGCACCCTGCCCAAGCCCCTCCCTCCAGCCCCACCTGCCAGCACCTTGACAAACAGCTGGAGCTTGGTGGTCTCGGCCATGGTGAGCGCTGAGGCTGTCAGGGCGCGGGCAGGAACCTGGGGAGCTCTTTAAGTCTCCTTAAGTGCCCCGCCCTCCTGGCCTATGGGCCCGCCCCGTGGAGCCACCTAAGCAGGTGGATGAAGCTGCCTGTGTAACTCGAGCCGAAACTGGGGACTCTCACCATGAGGTGCGACCATAGCAGGACGGTGCTGGGGGCTGTGCAGGGCGCGCGGCTGGCCCATACCCGGTGCCGAGTGCACGGCAGGAACCAGGAGGGTGCAGGATGGCCGTGTGGTGGGTGGAGACCAGTGGACCGGGAGGCAGGGAGCACCCATGGCCAAGGGGTGCAGGGGGTGCCAGCCTGGATCAGGAACACCCCACCATGAGCCCAGCTCTGGGCCTGCCCCAGGGCCCTCCCTGTGGGCCCCAGCCCAAAGAGCCAGGGGTGAGGGTGGGTAGGAGAAGTGACCAGCCTGGTCTCAGTTTCCCCATCAGCAGTATCAGCGCATCACAGGGGTGATAAGCCCACCTGGAAGAGATGCCCCCTCCTGCCAGCTGAGCTCTGTCAGCCAGGGTTCCCCAGGGTGGGGCTCACATTCTAGACAGGACAGGCTGGGGGACCAGTCTGGCTTTGGTGTTTGAACCCATCCTTCCCACTTGGGCTCAGAGCAGGTTTCTTATCCATCTCAGCCTTTAAAAACCAGCACCGGGGCCAGGCGCGGTGGCTCACGCCTGTGATCCTGGCACTCTGGGAGGCCAAGGTGGGCGGATTGCTCAAGGTCAGGAGTTCAAAACCAGCCTGAGCAAGAGCGAGACCCCGTCTCTACTAAAAATCGAAAGAAATTAATTGGCCAACTAAAAATATATAGAAAAACATTAGCCGGGCATGGTGGCGCATGCCTGTAGTCCCAGCTACTCGGGAGGCTGAGGCAGGAGGATCGCTTGAGCCCAGGAGTTTGGGGTTGCTGTGAGCTAGGCTGACGCCACGGCACTCTAGCCCGGGCAGCAGAGTGAGACTCTGTCTCAAAAATAAATAAATAAAAAGCAGCACCACGAGGGGTTTAGAAGCCACAGCCTGCATGGTCCTGGCTGGAAGGAAAAGGCCAGGGCAGCTCTGGCGGTCTGTGAGTGAGTGAGCCTGCGTGTGTGCCCTGCCCCTGCCTCCCGGCTCCACTGCTGCCCACAGCTCAGTCTCCGCCTTTGCGGTCACCTGCTGTGCCTCCATCCTGCCTGGGCCCTGGTGTCTGGGGGAGCAGCCCCAGGAGGCTCCCCAAGGGGAGACCCAGGGTGCCCACAGGATGCCGTGGCTGCCTTAGCCCCCCAGAAGCAGTGTGGTCCTGGTGCCTGGCCAGTCTGCACAGGGCAGCCGGGCTGGCACTGCTCACATGTCTGCTTGCTGAGGCCTCAGCTGTGACGCCCCCCCCCCCCCCCCGGTGCCACAATCCAGGCCCCATGACTGTCTCAGGCCAGCCCAGCCTGACCCCTTCCTGGAGCCGCCCGTCATGGCTCCCGGTTACGGGCCACTGCACGAGCCTTGGCAACGTGCTGTGGGGCTCTAGCATCCTTTGCAGCCCGGGGCTCTGGCTCCCAGCCAGGACCTCTGTCCCCAACTCCCATGCCCCGCCCTGCCTCTGCCCAAGCGCCCGTGTTTCAGTTGTTTCCTGCCAGTGTGGCCAGAGCTCCACCTGCCGGCTCCCTGCGTCCCCAGCAGACAAGCCGCCAGCCCCAGAGACGCCCTGACCCCTCCGCACCTGCCAGCCGCCCTCCCCCACCCCGGCCCGCTGCCCCAGTGTGTTTGTACACGGGGCTGGAAGCAGCCTTACCCGTCCACCAGAAAAGCAGAATGGACAGAGGACATGAACTGGCCTCTCAGAGAAAAGGCAACAGAAAACAACACATTGTGTGAAAATGCTTCACCTCACACTTAACCAAATCAAATATGGTTCATCTCTGCAGCCGACAGAAATGGGGTCACACTGTCATTTGTCAAGTGCGAGGTGTCAACTGGTGTGGCAGCAGCGGTGGTCCTAACGCTGTCCCCCAGTGCCCTGCCCACCTGGGGGTTAGCCCGCCGTTCCTCCTAAAGCACGCCGGCTGCCCCACTTAGGGGTGAAACCCTGAGACACAGCCACTGTCCTAGTCTGCGGGCCAGTCCCACGGGTCCAGGGAAGAGGACAGAAGAGGTGGGTCGACACAGGCCTGCGCTGGGGAGAGTCTGAGATTAAGCGATATTATGCACTGGGTCTTGTCTCCCAAAATTCACACGCCGGAGCCCTAACCTGCAGTCCCTCAGGTCTGTACAAAAGTAATCAAGTCAAAAGGAGGTCGTTAGGGTGGGTCCTGATTCAACGTGACTGGTGTCAGTATAAAAGGGAGATTTGAGCTGGGTGTGGTGGCGCACACCTGTGGTCCCAGCTACTCAGAGGAGGCTGAGGTGGGAGGCTGGCTTGAACCCAGGAGGTGGAGGCTGCAGTGAGCTGTGATCGTGCCTGTGAATAACCACTGCACCCCAGCCTGGGCAACAGAGTGAAACCCCATCTCCAAAAATAATAATAATATAGTAAGACCTGGTGCACAGAGCTTCTGAAAAAAAAATAATAAATATCTTTAAAAAGGTAGATTTAGACAGACACACACAGAAGGAACTCCACATGAAGTTGAAGGCAGACAGCAGCAACACACCTACAAGCCACGGAACGCCAAAGACTGCCCCAGTCACCGGGAGCTCTGGGGAGGCTGGGGCAGCTGTCCCCCCCACCCCGATGCTCGGTATCAGACTTCCAGCCTCCAGATAGAAGATAAATGTCTGTTGTTTCAAGGCCCCCATTCTGTGGGACTTTGTCTGACAGCCCTAATGAAAACTAATACAAGTCGGGGAAAAATGAAGTTGAGGAAAACCATCATTAGTATAGATCATCCTGAGTCTGTGCTTGTATGTATTAGGTTATTGAGTATGGAATGTCCCATTTCCTTAAGTACTAAGTTTGACAGTTGCTATCTCTGACATTGTGCTTTTTGGGGGAGGAGGCGGATAGAATATCACTCTGTTGCCCAGGCTAGAGTGCCGTGGCATCAACCTAGCTCACAGCAACCTCAAACTCCTGGGCTCAAGCGATCCTCCTGCCTCAGCCTCCCGAGTAGCTGGGACCACAGGCACGTGCCACCATGCCTGGCTAATTTTTTCTATATATTTTTAGTTGGCCAATTAATTTCTTTCTACTTTTCGTAAAGATGGGGTCTTGCTCTTGCTCAGGCTGGTTTCGAACTCCTGACCTCGAGCGATCCTCTTGCCTCGGCCTCCTAGAGTGCTAGGATGACAGGCGTGAGCCACCGCGCCAGGCCTGACATTGCACTTTGACACTTCTTGTTTTATGTTTATTGTGGAGGGTCATCCTCAGTCTTTCAAACACATTTTGGCTGGTGATACACATTTTTTTAAGAGCAATTTTTGTGAAACCATGGATAAGTCAAGAATTCATGTGGTTTCTCAGTATGAGTTCTGTCGTGGAACCACTGCAGTGCAGACAGCTTGGAATATCCATGAAGTGTTGGGAAGGCTGTGGCTAATGAATGCACAGTTCGTCGACGGTTTGAGAAGTCCCATTGTGGTGATTTTAATCTTGAAAATGAGCCACGTGGGTGACGTGAGACCAGGGTGGATAATGATGAGCTGAAAGCTGCGGTGGAAGCGAATCCATCTCAACCTACGCGTGAATTAGCAGCAAGGTTTTTTGGTTGTGTTTTGTTTTTATTTCAGAATATTATGGGGGCACAAATGTCTTGGTTACATAAATCGCTTTTGTACAGTTTGGGGCAAAGTTATAAGTGTGCCCATCACCCAGATAGTGTGCATTGTACTCATTACCTGTGAATTTACCCACCCCCTCTTCCCCCCTCCACCTGCTTGGTTGTTGATGAGTTTTATTTCCGTATATGCACATAAGTGTTGTTCAATTAGTTCCGATTTAACGGTGGGTAACATGTGGTGTTTGTTTTTCCATTCTTGTGATAGATCACTTAGAAGAATGATCTCCAGGTCCAACCAGGTTAATACAAGAGGTATTTGTTCACCATTGTTTTTTTTAATGGCTGAGTAGTACTCCATGGTGTGCCTGCACCACATTTTATTAATCCACCCACGTATTCATGGGCACTTGGGTTGATTCCACTTCTTTGCAATTGTGAGTTATGCTAGCAGCAAGGGTTGCCGTTACTATTCCAACAGGATTGGACCATTTGAAACAAGTGGGCAAGGCAAAGAAGCTGGATAGATGGTGGGTTCCACATGAAGTGAACAAGCGTCAGAAGAGAAGCCATCTCGAAGCTTGCCTCTCTTTGCTGCCACGACTTAAAGGCTGAACCATTTCTATGCGGTATTGTTACGTGTGATGAAAAACGGATTCTTTTTGACAAATCGCAAGCCTTTGGCACAGTGGTTGGATAAGGATGAAGTGTCGAAACACAGTCCAAAACCAAATATTTGTCGAAAAAAGCTAATGGTGTGTGTTTGGTGGTCCAGCACTGGTATCATCCACTACAACACTTCATGAAACCTGGTCAGTCGTTTACAGTGGATGTCTGCTGCAACCAGCTGGATGAAATGATGAGGATGCTCGTGATGAAGCAGTCAAGATGGGTCAGGACAGTCCTCTTGTAAGACAACACTTAACCACATGTCGCACAAACGACTCTGCTCAAACTACAGCAGCCGGACTTGGAAACTCTCTGCCATCCACCATATTCACCAGACCTTGCACCAACTGACTACCACTTCTTCCAGGCTTTGGACCCCTTCCTGCAAGGAAAAACATCCAATTCTCAGCAAGCTGTGGGAAAACCTCTTTCATGATTTCATCGCCACTCGCTCTCCAGGCTTCTTCCCTGCTGGCATAAACAAGCTCCCGTTAAGATGGCAAAGCTGTGTCAGTAGTTTAGGTGCATGCTTTGATTAACTGTACTGCTTATTTGAGACATGATAAACTACAGTTTTTACTTGAAGTCAGACATTTCATATTTAATGACCTAATATGTGGGAAAAGACCCAGGAGCCACCTGCAGATGGGCTCCGACAAGTAGCTGCCCTCCACTTTTACTTCCCAGCCTCTGCACTGTTTGAATTTTCTGCCGTATCTTCACAGCAAATGTTTTAGAGAAGTGAGAACAGACATGTATAGCCACCATGCTTAACTGAACCCAGGGCCTGCTCAGCCCTGGGGTTATCCCTAAGCCTCCACTCCTGCAGGCTTTGCCTGGAGCAGCCCTGGGAGGGGTCCTGGGGCCTCAAGGGGCTCATCCTTCCTGCTGGCCCCTGGCTGAGGTCCCAGGTGCTGCTGGTCTGGGACATGTTGGTGTTGGGATAAACTCTGTCTCTCCTGAGTGCCCGGCTCTGTAAGCTCCTTCCCAGGGGCAATTTATTTATTTATTCATTTATTTATTTTTTTAGAGATGAGGTCTCCCTCTGTCACCCAGGCTGGAGTGCAGTGGCACAATCTCAGCTCACTGCAGCCTCCAACTCCTGGGCTCAAGCGATCCTCCTGCCTCAGCCTCCCGAGTAGCTGGGACTACAGGTGCCACCACCATGCCCAGCTAATTTTTAAATTTTTTTTCCTAGGGACGGCCGTCTTGATATGTTGCTCAGGCTGGTCTTAAAATCCTGGCCTCAAATGAACCTGCTTCAGCCTCCCAGAGAGCTGGGATTACAGGCACAAGCCACCATGCCCAGCTACACGCCACGGACACTTCAACAGTTCTGTTCTGAAGGCGGGTGCAAACGTGGGGGGGAAGCGGGGGTACTAGGGGTGTCATTGGGGTAAAAGTTCAGCAGGAACTTTCAGCTCTGTCCTTGGAGAGGCCTAGAAGTGGCAACAGCCCAGGAGCAGTGAGCAGCCCCAGCACCCAGACTCTGGTTTCCAAAGAGCCCTGGAAACTAAGCTACAAGGAACCAGGGCTCTGCAACGAACCAAATGTGTCTCCCAAAATTCATGTGTTGAAATCCTAATCCCCAAGGTGATGTCATCAGGAGGTGGGGCCTACCATGAGTGCCCGTAGAAAACACCCCAGAGAGCTGCCTCACTTTTTCTACCACCTGGGGATACAAGAGAGTGAGTAACTGAGAAGGGGCCTCCACAGGCTGATCATGCTGGTACCCCGATCTCGGACTTCCAGCCTCTTCTAGGGCTGGAAGAAATGTCAACCAGGTGACCACTTTCAGCACGGCCTGCCAAGAAGCAGACTGACACCACGAGCCTCCTGGCCTGACAGCCACGGCACTGCCCGGCACCGCTCTTGCCAAAAATGTCCAATCTGCATCTGGCCAAGAGAAAATGATCAGACCTATCCAGCCCTGCACTCGTCAAACGTGCCCTTGTGGAGGACCCAGAGCAGAAGGACATGCCTGGGACTCTGGGGGCCTTGGATGACTGTGCTTGCTCCTTGTTAGCTCCAGGGAGGTCCTCGTTCCTGGGAGGAGACAGCAGGACCTGGGCTGAAGGGCCACAGCAGCCGCTACTTGCTTTTCGACGCGTCAGCGCAAAAGAAGGAATACACGGAGAAAGGCAAGATAGGGCAGGTGTGTCGAGACTTCCACGGTGGGCAAACGGGCAAACCTGGGTGAACGGCATGCAGCTGTGCGTTGCGCTATTCTTGCATCTTTTCTGAAAGTTTAAAATGTAAAGGGAATGCGGCTGGGGGTATGCATTTGATTTCTATTGCTGCATCACAGATCACCACAAATTAAACAGCTTAAAATGACACACCCATGAGTTGTCTCAGGGTCTCCGTGGGCTGGAGTCTGGGCACAGCCTACCTGGGTCCTGTGTGCAGGTCCCACCGGGCATTGGCCGGGCTGTGTTCCTTTCTGGACCTCAGGGTCCTCTTCCCGGTAGGATTCAGCTCCTCACGGTTGCAGGCCCAAAGCCACTGCAGGGTCCTGCCATGTGCACCCCACTTCTCTCCCGTGGCTGACCACCAATCCTGCTCCAGCCCCTCCAGTGGGCGGGGTTCCTCTCGGTCCCCACCAGGTGCACCATACCCTCCTGGGCTGCCCTAGGGCCTGGGAGACCTTACCCAGCGACCCCCAGCCTCTCGGGGGGCCACAGCAAACAGCGAATAGGAACACAAACGAACGCACTGGCCCAACCCACCCCCAAACTTATGGGCCACCCCCACCACTTCTTCCCTCTGTCCCCCACCTGGCACCAGCCCTTACCTGTGTGCCTGCCCCACCCCAGGCCCTTGAGATGGTCTGAGCTGGGAGTGTGGCTCTGGGGATCCTTCTTCCTGCTGCCCTGTCTCCTGCCCTGAGTGTACCAGGCTCCCTCCGGAGACCTTGGCAGGGGCTCCTCCATAACGCACCCCTACCCAACTTCAGTCTCCCCTGGAGATCCTCTCCCCCTAGAAGCCCTCCCCACCCCCTCCTGGGTGGCGATGGCCGGGCACAGGCCACATGCCGTGGCAGGCCTGGGTGGGTGCTAGCCACCGGGCACCCTCTCCCTACACCTGGGCAGGGCATTCCGGAAGTGCCTGGGGAGGGGGCAACAGTGGTGGTGCTGACCCTGCCTGCTGGGTCCGTCTTCTACACCCCCCAACACACGCAGGCTGCTGGGGCGTTTTGTCCATTTATTTAAACAAACATCTGTGCACTTTGTACAAGTCCAGCTCCCAGGCGGGTGGGAGAGAGAAGGCAGCTGTGTGTGGGGGGGTGGCCCCCAGCTGGACAGCAGGCCCAGCTTCTCCCTTCCTGCCACCTGCCAGCTGGCCAAGGCAGCCCCGCCCCAACCGAGCTGATGGCTTCCCATGGACGGCCACCTTCCCACACAGAAGCAGGGTGAGGGGAGCCTCTTCTCGAAGCAAAATAAATAGGAGGGACTAACCCAGACTGGGCGTGGGACAGACACAGCCCCCCACGCCCCCAGCCCCGGGCCCTGGGGCAGCGCACCCGCCTTGGTGGGGAGAAGAGCCAGCTAGGGGGGCCGGGCCGGCCAGGCTCAGGTGCGGCTGGGGGAGGGGCGGGCAGTGCCTGGTACTGCCGCGTCACATGGGGGGGGCAGAGCTGGGCAGGGGCGGGGGCCGGGTCAGCCCCCGAGGCTTTAAGGCAAAGCAGGGTGAGGGTGTGCGCAGCCCAGGGCTGGGCCAGCCTTTGGCACGGTTGGGGGAGGCGGCCGCAGCGACCGCAGGGCAGGGCCAAGGACGGGTGGCGGCTGCAGGAGGGCCAGAGCCCCTGATCCCGAACCTCCCACACACCAGGGATGCGGGGAGGCCTTGGCCTCTGCCGGACTTGTGTCCCCACAGTTGAGTTCCTGTCCAGTCCTGGCCGTCAGCAGAGCGTGTCTGTGTTGAAGGAGAGCTGGGCCTGGTGGGCAGCAGACAGGCCAGGGTGAGGGGTGTCCCCCGGCACCCCTGTTGCCGGTGGAGCGTGACCCTGCTAGACCCCGCTGGGGCACACCCCCTGGCTGGACCGAGCTCTCTTGGTGGCCACTGTGTCTGCATCACACACACATCCCCAGGTGCTGGTCCCTTCCACCCGGTCTCTGCTCTGTAGCCCCTCCAAGGCCCCAGCAGGTTTGGGCTCTGTGGCTGGTCACTCCTGTGCCTGTCCCTGGTCCTCCCTGGTCCACTCTAGTCCTCAGCGCCCAGCAGGCCCCTCTCCACCCCGTGGCCTCTTCTCCCCCACCCAGACCCTGGAGCCTGAGCCACCTCCTGCACGGCCCCTGTGGGGCCTCGAGTGGCCGTGATGCCGCAGCCTGCTCACCCGCTCCTCCTCGAAGCTGATGAGGCCCTCGTCTTCGGTGTCCAGGTCCTCGGGCTCGTCCGCCACGAGTGCCCGGAGCTCCGTGGGGGTAGGCCGGGGTCGGAGCAGGCTGAGCAGGCGGCCGAGAGGGGACTGAAGTGCCGAAGGCGGCTCTGTCTCCTGCTGCTCCAGGTTGTCGCTCTGCTTCTTGGCGAAATTCACAAACACCTGGTGGGTGGAAGAGGTCAGTGGGCGAGGTCAGGCCCGGGCGTGTGGGACAGCTGAGTGGGCAGGGCAGGCCAAGGTGGGCGGGGCAGATAAGTGGGCGGGGCAAGTGAGTGGGCGGATCAGGTGAGTGGGTGGGGCATGCCTGGGTGGGCGGGGCATGCTAGTGGGCGGGGTAAACCCCAAGGGAGCTGAGTTCTAACCGGGTACTTACGTTGTCCAGCGTGGTCTGGCTGACCGAGTAGTCCTCAATGCCCAGCACACCTGCCACCTGCTCCATCTTGCTGAACACCTGGGCCAGTGAGATGTGCTCCGACTTGAGCTGGTACTGCACCTTCGTGTGGTGTCGCTCCTGGGGGACGGGTAGGTCAGAGGATGCTCGGGCAGTGCCGGGCACGCCCAGCCCCCCGGGACACGCCCACCTTGAGCACGGCTTCCGGGAAGTTCCGGTTGAAGAACCGCACCACGTCCTTTACGCTCTGGCTGCTCTTGGTCCGCACGGTGATCATGTAGCCGTCTCCAAACCTGGCAGGACAGGTTCGTGGCCCGGAGCCCGGGGGCGCCCCGCCTGAACCCAGACCCCGCCCGCCACGGACCCCACACCCAGGCCCCAGCGCCCCCGCTGCTCACCGGTTCTTCAGGTGCTGGATGCTGCCCAGGCAGCGCAGGCGCCCGTTCACCATGATGGCCAGCCGCGTGCACAGCGCCTCGCACTCCTCCATGCTGCGGGCAGAGCACGGGCTGGCACCGGAGGCGCGGCGCGGGGAGGGGACCGGGAGCACGTGTCCTACCTGTGCGACGTGAGCACCACGGAGCGCCCCGTCTTGATGAGGTCGAGGATGAGGTTCCAGAGGAAGCGCCGGGCCTTGGGGTCCATGCCTGTGGTGGGCTCGTCCTGGGGTGGGCGGCAGAGTCAGCCGCTGCACGCGCTCGCCACCGCACCTGACCGCCCCGGCCCCGCCCGCGCTCACCAGGAAGATGAAGGCTGGGTACCCGATGAGGGCGATGGCTGTGGACAGCTTTCGCTTGTTGCCGCCGCTGTAGGTGCCGGCCGGCTTGTCCGCGTACTTGGTCAGCTCCAGCTTCTCCAGCGCCCACCTCACCACCTGGGCGAGGTGAGCGAGGGCAGAGGTCAGGGGCAGACCGTCAGCCGCCCACCACGCCGGCTCCCTCGCCCGTCCCCGCCGGGCCTCACCCGGGCCTCGTCCTTCCAGGGAATGCCGCGCAGCCGCGTGTACAGCTGCAGGTGCTCGCGGGCCGTGAGCTCGTCGAACAGGGCGTCGAACTGCGGGCAGTAGCCGAGGCTCTGCTGCACCTGGAGCAGCTCCTTGAGCACGCTGGGGGCGCAGCTGCCGTCAGCTCGTGGAAGCACAGCCCCACAGCCCCCCACCCCCATCACCCCCACTCCCACCTCTCCCCACCCCTACCCCCACATCCTCACCCTCATCACCCTGATACCCCACCCTCATCACCCCCACCCCCATCCCATCTCCCCCCCCTACCCCATCACCCCCATTCCCACCCCCCACCCCATCACCCCACTCCTACCCCCACCCCATCACCCCACTCCACTCCCCACCACATCCCCCAACCCCTACTCCCCATCCCCATCACCCCCACCCCTACCCTATCTCCCCCAACCCCTACCCTCCACCCCCATCACCCCCACTCCCACCCCATCTCCCCAACCCCACCCCCCACATCCCCACCTCATCACTCCCATGACCCCCACCCTCATCACCTCTCCCCCCCTCCCCAACCCCTACCCCACACTCCATCACCCCCACACCCCACCCTCATCACCCCCACAACCCCACTCCTATCCCCCCAACCCCCCCCCACCCCCACCCATCCCCCCAATCCCTACCCCCATCACCCCCACTCCCATCCCCCCCCATCCCACCCCCATCTCCCCACCCCCGCCAGCCAGGGCGCGCCTGCGGCACCTGTGCCCGTTGACGAAGGCCTCGCCCCCGGTCGTGCTCTCGTCGCCCGTCAGCATCTTGAAGGTGCTGGTCTTGCCCGCGCCGTTCACACCCAGGAGGCCAAAGCACTCGCCGGGACGCACACCCAGGCACAGGCGGTCCACGGCCAGGATGCGGCCAATCTTGCGGGACTTGTAGACCTGGCGGAGGGGAGCCGCCACTCAGTGGGGCAGCCGGGCGCGGGGCGTCCCCCAGTGTCCCTGCACACGCCCCAGCCCCAGCCCGTGGCCCCGCCCCACCCAGGCCCACCTTGGTCAGATTCTCGATCTTGACCATGTCATTGTCGGCATCGCCCCGAAGCACTCGCTGCCGCTCGCTGGCCACGTCCACGTCGTCCTCCACGGGCTTGGTGGACACGGGCATGCGCCTGGGAGGACAGGGTGGGCAGTGCCTGCCCCCCACCCACCCACCCAGCCACCCCCGTTCCTGCCGACACCCACGGGCCCCTCTCGCTGTGGCCCCAAGGGAAGGGTGGGCAATCCCCTGGCCCGGCCACCTGCCTCCCGGCTGCCCGGAGCCCACTCACTGTGGCTGCCGCAGGAAGTTGTACTGGCACATGATGGTGAGGAGGAAGCCCACGAAGCCCTCGACCGTCATGGCCACCAGCCCGCGTGTGACGATGTCCCACTCAAACGGGGACTTCATTTTGTCAAACTGGCCTGTGGGGCGGCAGGCACAGGGCCTGAGCCTGGGGCCTCAGGGAGCACCCAGCCACCTCCTCGCCCGGACCCCTCCCGGAGGTGCACCTGCCCCTGCCCCGCCGGCCCCAGGCGCCCCTCACCGATCTTGGCGTAGTACTCGTTGATGTACTCGTTGTACGCCATCTCCATGAGCCCGTGGCCCAGGTTATAGTTGGGGAAGATGAGGAAGCAGCTTTTCAGGTAACTGTTGACAACCTTCAGGTCCTGAGGGCCACGGCACAGCCTGAGCACCGCCGGCCCGCTGAGGCCCTGCCCCTGCCCCACCGCTCCACTGCCCCACCACCCACCGCCCCTGCCCCACCTCCCCACCGCCCTACCGCCCCTGCCCCACCGCCCCACCACCCCACCTTGTCGTGCTCGAAGAGCTGCAGCAGGAAGGTGGCCACGGTGGCCGTGATGCCGATGAAGAGGTTGATGACAATGAGGAACACGTAGGCCGAGCTGGGGACCTCGAACCAGAAGGAAGCCGGGTACATGATAGGGGTGATGGACCACCTGTGGGTGGGCAGGCAGCGGCGGGTGGCAGTCACTGGGCGGCCCCGGACCCTGCCTGCAACCACTCCTCCACCCGCTCCCCCTTACCCATAGAGCAGGAAGAGGGAGAGGACAGCGGGGAAGTTGGTGGGCGACGTGTAGGCCGGCAGGTCGAACACAAACAGGATGATGACGCAGCAGGTGGCTGGGACCAGGTAGTTGAGCTGCAGGGCAGGGGTGGCTCGTGAGGGACCCGGGGCAGGGTGGGGTGCAGGGAACAGGGTAGGGGAAGGGCCCGGGGCGGCTGGGGCCCCCGTGGCCATGTGGGGCGCACCATGTCCCACACGTAGTTGGCCAGCCAGTAGATGACTGGGTTGCAGCCACTGACGAACTGCAGGTGCTTGGCCTTGGTGGACTTCTCGGCCACGAGGAAGACCACGAAGCTGGCTGGCACGAACGACATGGCCACGATGATGAAGATGGCGATGACCACGTCCGTGCCCTGCAGCCTGGAGGAGGGGCAGCCGTGAGCCCTGTGCAGCTGGGGGCTACAGAGGGGCCCCGCCCCGGCCCGGCCACACGTACAGGTAGTCCAGAGAGAGGCTGGCGCTGGTCTTGTTCATGGGGTGGTTGGTGACGGTGATGCCTGCGCACAGTGTGGGGGGGCAGCTCAGGCCCCTGCTCCACCCACCCCTCCACCCCTGCCCCACCAGACCTACCATAGGCCGCCGGGTTGCCCTTGCTCTTGGGCAGGTTGGCGCGCAGGATGGCGTTGTTGAGGCTGTTAAGGTAGGTGGGCATGCTGTGGTAGCCCTTGTTGTTGTAGAAAACCTGGGGGAGGAGAACAAGGCCCGGAAAGGCCCCGGAAGCCCCCGTGGGTCACTGCAGACCGCCGGCGGCTCCGGACACCTCGCAGCCCCAGGGCCAGGCACGCTCACCTGTGCTGCCCTGCGCACCGCGATCTTCCGCACCATGGGCGGGGCCCTGGCGCCGAAGGAGGCCGGGATGGACTTCTGGACGTTGCCGAAGGTGATGGCCCCGTACCTGGGCACACAGGGGGGGAGGGGCAGTGAGGCCGGCGGGTGGCGGCCAGCACCCCTGCCGGCAGCCCCGGACCCCCAGGCTCACCGGTGTAGCCGGAAACGGTCGGAGGTGAAGAGCAGGTACTCGGAGACGTTGTGGCCGGTGACGTCGGTGAGGATGTCCCCCGTGACCACGCGCACCTGGGGCGGGTGCCCGCCCACGCTGCTGGGGCAGGAGAAGCCGGTGCCCTGCGCGGAGCAGGTGCAGCGGACGGGCTCCCGCACCAGGCGTGGCAGAGAGGGCGCCGAGGTCCATGTCTCTGTGGGAGCAGCGGGGCACGGTGAGACCCACGCTGGCGCCCCCGCAGGCCCCCCCCCCACGAGCCGCTGGCTACCTGGCCCGATGGTGGGCGGCAGGGAGGTGTTCCAGGCCTGCAGTGGGTCCTCATCAGGGGACACAGGGGAGTCGGACGGGGCGGGCGAGGGCGGGGGCGGCACGAAGTTGGACAGCGGCAGCCCCTGCGTGAAGGACTCCAGGCACATGCTGTCGAAGAACCGCGCGGCCAGCAGGCGGGACTCGCCGCTGCTCAGGTTCAGCGTGGGCCCCAGCGAGCCGTTGGCCGGGGACTTGAGCACACAGGTGGCGCCCACGCCTGACGGCAGCCGGAACGTGCTCACGAGCTGCTGGGGGCTGGCGTCGGGTGACAGCCACAGTCTGGGGGCACCGACAGGCAGGCATCGAGTCAGGGCCCGCTCCCCTCCCCCCCCGCCAGCCCCCACCCGCTGCGGCCGCCCCTCCGGCCTCACCGGTCCTCCCGGCGCTCCTCGTTGGCATAGGGGATGAAGTTGCCGCGGGGCTGCGTGTAGTTGTGGTACTGGGACGGCGACAGCACCAGGGGGGGCAGGTCACCTGGGGGCGAGCCGGAGCCCCGAGTGGGTCCCACGTGCCCGAGCTCGGGTGCTGGGCCCCAAGGGTCCCAGGAGGCTCAGGGCGGGGAGGAGCCAGGGCCCACTGGGGCGGGTGTGGGCCCGGGGGGGCCATACCGATCTCGGGGACAGACAGGGCCACAGTCATGGCCACGCAGACGAAGAAGGCCGGCAGCAGGATCTGGGAGAAGAGCGCCTTGGAGTTGCGGCGGGCGCAGTGGAAGCGCTTGACCAGCAGCCCGTGGAACTGCCGCGCCTTCAGCCACCAGCCCTCCAGCTTGCGGCTGCCTTGGCCCACCCGGGAGAGCGCCTCCGCCTCGGCCTCTGCACAGAGCGGGGGCTCAGCGGGCCGCCCACGCCACCCCACGCCACCCCACGCCAACCCCCACCCCCCTACCCCATGCCCTACACCCGCCCGCATCTCCCACTGGCCCTCCCCCCCTACTCGCATCCTCCACCCCACTCCATCATCACCCCCACGCCCCCCACCCTGACCCCCCACCACTCCACGCCCCCCATGCCACCCCTCACCCACCCCACCGACTCCGACGCCACCATCACCCATGCCACCCCCACACCCATTGCACCCCCCACACTCCACGCCACCCCCTTTTCCCACGCATTCCCCCCACCCCTGCCTATCCCGCCCCCCTTGCACTCCAAGGCCACTCCACACCACCCCCCGCCCACCCGCTGCAGCCCGATGCCATTCCCCCAACGCCCGCACCCTGCCCGTCCACCCCACCCAACCCCCCCACCCCCATCCACAACCATGCATGCCCCATCCCCTGCCGGCCCCCCACCCCCACTCCACCCCACACCCCGCCCCTGCACCCCATCCCACCACTCACGCCACCCACCCACCCCCCTAACCCCACCACTTCCGCCACCCCCCCCGCCCCCTACCCCCCACCATCGCCAGCCACCACACCGCCCCGTAACCCCCCACTCCAGCCAACCCCCACCCCTACCCATGCCACACCACCCCGACTCCACGCTGCCCGCCACCCCATGCCACCGCCACCCCACCCTACCTCCATCCCAACCCCCCACGGCCACCTTCCGACCCCCCACGCATCCCCACCCCACCACCCCTGCTACCCCCCACTCCGCCCGCTGCCCCGCACCCCCCTTGCATGCCCACGACCCTACTCGCCATCCACCTCCCACGCCACCTGCACCCCACAGCCATCCCCACCCACACCCTGCCCACCCCACACTCCGCACCCGATGCCACGCCCTGCCACCCCTCCACCACCCACATCCCGCCCCTCACCCCATGCCCCCCCCCACACCCCATGCCCATCCCCCACTCACGCCACCCATGCACCCTCACTCCCCGCCATACCCCACCCCTGCCATCCCACACCAACCCTCGCCACTCCACACCAACCCCACCACCACCCACACCCGCTGCCATGCCGATGCATTCCCCAACCCGCCCACCTCGTCACGCCACCCGCCCACTCACGCCCCACACCCCTACCACTCCACACGCCCCCACCCCATGCATCCCCCCGCACCCCTTCCCACCCACCCACCCCCACCCACACCACCCCCCCCCGTCCCCTGCCACGTGGCCATCCCCCTCCACTCCACGCCACCTCACACCACCCCCCTACCCCCACCACTCCACGCTGCCCCATGCCACTCCCCAACTCCCGCTATCCCCGCCACCCGGCCTGGCCTGGCGGTGCCCACCTTGCAGGCTGACGTTGTCGGGGTCCTGCGGGTTGTCGAAGAGGGGGCGGTAGTCGCCGTAGACGTCGGTGTAGCCGGCTCCCTCGTCGCCACGGGCGGAACCCACCGAGGACGCCGACTGCAGTGACGCCTGCGACTGAGCCAGCTCTGAGCACCGGGCCAGATTGCCGGACGGAGCCTCCCCGGGCGCCGGGCCCCCCACCCCGGGCAGCACGTCCTTCCTGGACTCCTTCACATCTGCCGTGGGAGAGGCTGCTCAGCCCACAGGCCCGACCCCAGCCCATCCACCGTCCAAGCCCTCCGGCTGCCACGGCCACCCCAGCACCCCAGGCTGGCCCTGGCTCCTGTCCCGGCAGGTGCTCCCGAGGACCAGGAAGGGGCCCGTGCCAGGCCCCCGTCCGGGCCCCCGGGGTGGTGGGCGCAGCAGCACCGGGCCCCCTCACCGGCCTCGCTGTTCTCCAGCGACTGGTCCTCCTCGGACACCTTGAGGAACACCTCCTCCAGCGTCGTGTCCATCAGCCCGAAGCTGCTCAGGTGCAAGCTGTCCAGACTGCACTCCAGGTGCTGCGGACGGGCCGGGTGAGGCGTCCTGTGCGGGCGTCCAAGGCAGGCCTCCCGCCTCCCCCGCCCGCCTGCCCACCCGGGCCCGGCCCGGCCTGCGCCCCTGCGCTCGGCCCTCGCACCTGGAAGAGGCGCTCGAAGGCCCCCTTTCTGGCGGCCTCGCTGGGCAGGATGTAGGAGAGCTCCGTGCTGGTGTCCGAGACCAGCAGGCAGGAGGCCACGTGCTTACGGATGAACTGTGACACTTGGGTCTCAGAGCAGCTGCTCAGCTGGGCCCGACCTGGGGGGCTGGAGGCCAGCCCTGGCTCTGGGGGGGTAGGGAGGGAGTCACTCGAGTGTTTGGGGGCCAGCCCTGGCTCTGGGAGGGCAGGGAGGGAGTCACTCAAGGGTTTGGGGGCCAGCCCTGGCTCTGGGGGGGCAGGGAGGGAGTCACTCGAGGGTTTGGGGGCCAGCCCTGGCTCTGGGAGGGCAGGGAGGGAGTCACTCGGGGGCTTGCGCGCGAGGCCAGCCCTGGCATCTGGGGGGCCAGGGCATGAGTCACTCGGGGGCTGGGGCCTGACTGGGGAGGGCAGCAGGATCTCGGGACATAGGGAGAGAGAGCAGCGGAGCCGAGGAGAGGGAGAAAAAACAAAGATCCACAGGAGCTGGGGAGCCAGCTGGCTCTGGGCGGGGGAAGAAGGGATACACTCGAGGGCATAACCAGCCCTGGTCTAGGGGGGGACAGGGAGGGGTCACTCCCGGGGGCTGGGGGCACCCTGCTGCTGGGGGACCAGAGAGGGAGTCACTTGGGGGCTGGGGGCAGCCCTGACTGGGGGGGGGCAGGCAGGGAGTCACTCGGGGGCTGGGGGCAGCCCTAGCTCTGGAGGGTCAGGGAGGGAGTCACTCGGGGGCTGGGGGCAGCCCTGGCTGCTGGCGCGCGCGCCGCCGGAGGCGCAGGGAGTCACTCGGGGCGGCTGGGCCAGCCCTGGCTCTGGAGGGCCCGGCGGGCGTCCTTTGGGGCCTGGGGGGCAGCCTGACTTCGTTTGGGGCAGGGGAAGGGCAGTCACGTCAGGGGCTGGGGCGGCAGTGCCTGACGGGGATCAGGGAAGGGATCACCGGGGGCGGGCTCGGCAGCCCTGGCTTTGGGGGGGGAGGCAGGGAGTCACTCGGGGGCTGGCAAGAGCAACCCTTGGCAAGACCCCAGCCAGGCTGAGACACGGCGGCTGACAGAGGGTGGCCCAGGCCCAGCCTCTCCAGCCGAGGGTCTCGGTGGGATGGGCCGGGGAAGGGCCCACTCAGGGCCCAGCACAGACCTTGGGGGCCCCCAGGCTCCGCGGGCTGCTTGACCAGCGTGAGGCGGTAGCCGTCGCCATAGGCGCCCTTCAGGAAGAGCGGGGAGCCGCAACACTTGAGCTTGCCGTGGGAGATGATGGCGATGCGGTCGCCCAGCAGGTCAGCCTCGTCCATGTGGTGGGTGGACAGGAGGATGGTGCGGCCTGGGCGAGGCCGGACCCAGGGTCAGGGGCCGGCGGGGTCAGGCGGGGCCCGGCCCGACCCCGTGCCAGCCTGGCGCCCCACTCACCCGGCTTGTACTTGAGGATGAGGTCCCAGATGGCGCGGCGCGCGTAGGGGTCCACGCCAGCAGTGGGCTCGTCCAGGATGATGGCGCGGGAGCCGCCCACGAAGGCAATGGCCACGGACAGCTTGCGCTTCATGCCGCCCGACAGCGTCTGCACCAGTGAGTGCCGCTTGTTGGAGAGCTCCAGGTCCTCGATCATCCTGGGCGGGGGGGAAAAGAGGGCGTGGGACAGGCGCTACCGGACTCACCCTGCACCCCGGCCTGCCCCGGCCCGCCCCGGCCCCCGCACTTGTCCATCTCCTTGCGGATCTCCTCCTGGGCCATGCTCTTGAGCCGCGAGTAGAACCAGAGGTGCTCCTCCACCGTGAGCCGGTCGAACAGCACGTTGTGCTGTGGGCACATGCCCAGGTTCTTGCGGATCTCGTCCATCTCCGTGCGGATGTCGTGCCCGTAGATGGTGGCCGAGCCCGACGTCGGAGGGAACAGGCCGGTCAGGATGGACCTGGGTAGGCAGGTGGGGTCAGGACCCCGCACCCCCTGCAAGGATCCCCCCACAACGCCCCGCTGGCTCGGGACTACTGCCCTGGCTGGCAGCCACTGAGACGCTCACATGGTGGTGGTCTTGCCAGCCCCGTTGTGGCCCAGGAAGGAGACCACCTGGTTCTCGTAGAGATTCAGGCTCAGCTTGTTCAAGGCCAGCTTCTTGTCGTCCTTGTAGACCTTGGTGAGCTTGTCCACACAGACGACCAGGGGCAGGTGGGTGGGCTCCTCCTCCATGCCGCGCGTCTCCTCTGCAGCAGGGCGGGTGTCAGTGGGGCGGGAGCAGCACCAACGCCGCCCTGGGCCCCTCGAACCCGGCACCCGAACCCCGCCAACATGCTGGTGCCCGCCTCACCAAGGCGCCGGCTCTCCATGGCGCAGGCCTGGTCCTCCTCCATGACGCTGAGGCGGGGGGCGCGAGCCCACGGCCAGCTCCACTCCCACGCTTCCGTCCGCCCACTGCCCAGCCAGTAGGACTTCTGCAGCGGGAAGTACCAGGGCCGGGGCAGCCCGTACATGCCTGGGGGCCGGGGAGGGGAGGGGAGGCTGACCTGGGGCCTGCGGGTGACCGTCCGCCACTGGGCCACGTGCCCACCCAGGGAGCCGGCCGTGCCGCGTCCAGGAAGAAGCCCGGAGAGCCGGCCCCTGCCCCCGCACCTCCGCAGGGTTGGCCAGTACCTGGGTGCACGGCCTCGATGTACCAGGTCAGCACACCGTAGACGACGGCGTCCACGATCAGCATGGTGACGGCGAGGAGAAGATTGAAGTCATCCCCTTCCACGGGGGACTGGCTGAAGGTGTGCCACTGGATGCCCACGCCCGCCACCTCGTACAGGGCGAAGTACTTGGAGCCCAGGCCAAAGGCTGTGGTGGACATCAGGGACTGGGGAGGCGGCGGAGTCAGTGCGTGGGCAGGAGCATGGACGCCCCGCCCCCGGCCCCGCCAGCCCAGGACGCTCACCGCGATGCACTTCTCGAAGGCCGTGATCTTGTCGTGGGCCACCTCCTCGCGGATCGCCACGTACATGTAGGGCACGTAGCTCAGGAAGTAGATGATACCGCCGCAGGCCGAGGCCAGCTTGGCCTTGGAGTACAGCACGGACACCAGGAAGCTGGGCGGGGCCAGGCGGGCCATCAGCCCCCAGACCCCCGCCCGCACCAGGCCCTCCTCCGCAAGCCCCCGCTGGGGTCCAGGGGTGCTCCAAGAGGGTGTGTACACGTTTTGGGGTGAACTTAAGGGACACCCTGCCGCCGCTGCGAGAGCATGGGGCTAAGCAAGTGGGCGGCCCCGGCCAGTGCCCGCACCAGGCTCCCGCCACCAGCCGGCGCTCACCAGAACATGATGGTGGCCACGGCGTAGACGGCCAGGAAGAGCCAGATGATGAGCACGTGGCTGTGCATGAGCACCTGGCCGTACTTGAGGATGGCGGTGAGCGCGGACACGGAGATGGAGAGCTGCACGAAGCCCGTGATGAACCAGGCCACCCAGTGCACCGCGTTGTTCAGGCCCATGGTCTTCATCACCTGTGGGCAGCGTGCACGCGGCCGTGGGCAAGGCTCCGGCATGGGGGCGCAGCCCACCCCGCCAGCCCGGCCCGGCCCAGCCC